GATAGCTTTCTTTATCGAGTGTCTAGTATGAGTAAAACATTAACCAAGCGGGGTATTCTTTCAAATATCGCTCGTTTATATGATCCTTGTGGTTTCATTGCTCCTGTAACGTTCTTTGCTAAATCTTTCTTACAAAATTTGTGGCTTTTGGAGATAGGTTGGGATGATACACTTCCTTTTGACGCTCAGCAGACTTGGTTTAAGTTTGTTGAAGATTTTCATTCATTAAATAAAATTCGTATCCCACGCTATGTAGCGCGTGATCAAATGTCTGAATGTCAACTTCACGGTTTTAGCGACGCGTCTGAACGCGGTTACGCCGCATGCGTATATCTTCGTTGTGGTAGCGATGACGATGTAGAGACGAACTTGTTGGTTGCCAAATCTAGAGTCGCTTCTGTCAAGCAAAGGAAGACAATTCCCAAACTCGAGCTCTGTGGAGCAGTTCTATTGGCTCGTCTTTTGGAACATGTTTGCAAGGTTTTGCAACATAAAATAAACATCACTTCAGTCACAGCATGGTGCGACTCTAGCATAGTGCTAACATGGTTGCGAACATCGCCTCACAAGCTTCAGACGTTCGAAGGGAATAGAGTTTCGCAGGTTCAAGGTATTCTTCCAAACGCTACCTGGCGATACGTTCCATCCGTTTTCAATCCAGCCGACTGCGCGAGCCGAGGCTTGCTCCCTCGCGAGTTGTTAAATCATTCACTTTGGTGGAGTCCTTCTTGGCTCAAATCTAATCCCGATTCATGGCCTTCTTCATGTCAATTTCTCGATCTTGACGATTTGCCAGGTGTCAAATCAGCTGCAGTTGCTGCACATGTGGTGCAAACTGTCGAGACTACACATCACTCTGACTCTACATTGCTCTTTACCCCTCCAGTTTCTTCGCTTATCGTGCGGACCGTCGAGGAGGCATCTCATATAAAAGGCTCTACATCGACTGTTGCAATTTCATCTCACGAAGTTGTTCAACATGTCATTAAAAGATATAGCTCTCTATCTAAACTATTACGTATTTTAGGTTGGTGGCTACGCTATAGTTATAACTTACGTACACCAAAAGATAAACGATCAGGTTCTTTATCATTGTCGGAACTCAAATCAGCATTGTTAATTTGCATCAAATCGGTTCAATCTTCCGCGTTTGCCGATGCAATCAAATTGTTACAACAACGTAGGCCTGTCAAGGGCAGTCTCTGTCGGCTTCATCCATTTCTCGACGAGTTTGGCTTTCTTCGTGTTGGAGGGAGGCTAGTCAATGCCGACTTACCTTACAACAGCAAGCATCCGATTTTGTTACCTCAGTCTCATCACTTAACGGATCTCCTTATCGATCATTACCATCAACTCTATGGCCACCCTGGTCCGTCCACTCTCATGGCGATCCTGTCTCACAGATACTGGATCATATCAGCTAGACGTACAGTTCGTCATAGGATTTTCAAATGTCAGCGTTGTTATAGGTTAAAGGCAAGGCCTGTTAACCCGTTCATGGGTAATTTACCTGCTAGCAGAGTTACTCAAGCAAGACCTTTCCAACGAGTTGGATTAGACTTCGCCGGCCCATTCATCGTTAAGGATTCTCACGCTCGAAAGCCGAAAACTTTTAAGGCATATTTGTGTGTTTTTATTTGTTTCACCACTAAGGCGATGCATTTAGAGGTAGTTTCTAATTTAACAACTGACGCCTTTTTGGCTTGCTTAGATCGATTCGTGTCGAGGAGAGGATTACCATCTGACATATTCTCTGATTGTGGTACCAATTTCTTAGGCGCCCGTAACTATTTAAAAGATATATACGCACTTAAAACGCAATTAGATAGAGACAGCGAAAAAATTCAATCTTATCTGGCACCTCGCGAAATTTATTGGCATTTAAACGTTCCCTCAGGACCACATCTTGGTGGTATTTGGGAAAATGCAGTGAAATCATCTAAGACATTACTTAAACGAATAATCGGTGAACGCGTACTAACGTTTGAAGAACTTAGTACCGTGTTTTGCAAAATTGAATCGATACTGAACTCACGACCGATTTGTCCGCTTAGTAGCGATCCAAATGATCTTGAGGCTCTTACGCCTGGACATTTTTTGATTGGGCAACCGCTTCTCGGTTTGCCAGAACATAATCTGAAGCAAATTTCTGCTAATCGTCTTAATCGTTGGCAATTGTTGCAACAAATAACGCAACATTTTTGGAAACGCTGGCACACCGAATATTTACATACATTGCAACAGCGTGATCGTTGGCTTAAAACTGATCGTAATTTACAAATCGGGGATTTAGTTTTGGTAGCGGAATCTCATATACCGCCGTTACAATGGCGAAAGGCTCGTGTGACAAAACTCTACCCGGGTAATGATAGCATTGTTCGAGTCGTAGAGCTTAATACTTCTACTGGAATCTTGTTGCGTCCTGTGGCTAAATTATGTCGCTTATTACCAGAACCTTAAATTAGCACGAAAGCAGCGATCTCTAGATTTAAGTTTCGTTTAATCATAGTTTTATTATTCTTTGTTCAACAATTAGTTTACCAAAGTAGCATACATTTAGTGTACTCATCCTTGCTCTTTATTTGAAAGAGCTGAACCGCTCTTTGGGGGGCGGTATGGTAGATTTTAAGGTTTAGGTTTTACCTATTCGATACAATCGTGTCCCATCACTCGTGATACCTTCCTACCTCCATGCCTTTTTATTATCTGAAGTCCTTGGGGGTAATCTGAGAATATCGTAAACTCACTTCCGCAATCGCAGCCGGGTCGAGCAGACGTAGCTCCCAATATATAAAAGCTGAGAAGTCAAGTATCACGGCGATCGACGCGTTTGTCTCGCGAACAAGTGATATAGAGTGTGGTGCACCACTAGGAAATAAGACGCGCGTCCAGAACATCGAGCACGCTGGGACGTAGTGAACCAGGTACGCCCCCATCCTTTTCCTTGTGATTCCTTACAAAATTATGCAACGATGTTTGTAAAAAAATACTTTATGTTAGAGAGCAGCCTCAATGTAATAATGTTCTATATATATATTTTAAGTAAATATATATTGATAAAAAATAGCACCACAAATGAATGATATCGCGCTGCTTTGTTAGCTTTGTGCATATGATATACTTTATGTATCATTTGGTAATCGTTATAATATTTTTTTTATTCTTCTCGACATTAACACAGTCATAGTGATAAGCTAAAATTACAGAAAAAACAGAACAGTGTTACGTTATACCGATTAATATGAAAATTATTAAATTATCAGTGTATTATACATATAATTAATTCAATCACCGCGGGATCTGCTCATTACTATAACACTGAAAAAAGTATTGTGTTTCTTTATGTGAGGTTAAAACACATAAAATATGAGCAGCGCGGGTTTACTTATGTAAAATTAGGATTAAACTTTCACCAAATTAGAATTGGTCTGTGAAAAACACTAAAACTCATTGACAATCAACAACTTTACACTAATATTATAAAGAAGAAAGATGATTGTACGTTTGTATGTATAAAATGAGCTTTGAAACTACTGAACCTATTTTAAAAATACTTCTAAATTTTTATTAGAAGCCTACGTTATCTTTCATGGACGGACATAGGCTATAGAATATTTTCAAAAATGTTAGGGATCCGTATAAAAACTTCGATATCCATGCGAAGCCAGGGCTGACCACAAGTCTTTAATAACCCGGAAACTGTATTGCGGCATTAATTATTTGTAATAAATGATATTATGGATTTTGTTAATTGGAATACGGAATTTATTAATTAAATGTCAACACCTTATTTGTAGTTTCACACTTTCGACAATAACCAGTTTTAAATATTATTAGTATACATATGAAGTAATAATCTATAATATATAAATCTTTTTTATAAAGTCGGAAGTAATCAGTGGGATAAAGAAATGATATCAACTTCTAAAAATGTAATAATGAAATAAAACCACATTCACACAAAATCTGTAGGCCTCTGTTTCACAGAAAACGAAATTTCGTCTGTTTTTGTAACGCTAATATGTCTCCAAAGAAACTTGAATTATTTGATAATTTATGATGAAATTTAAGGGTTACGACGTGGCACTTCACACTCTCAAAATGTAATTTCAAAAAATTTTCACTTTCGCAAAGTCGTTTTCGCAAAAGCTCGTATTCTCAAAAAGTCATTTTAGCTAAACTACAATTTCGCAGTGTTACTTTTGCAGAATGCCATAGACAAAATTATTGTGCTCACTGTACGAGTATATTATTAAGTAGCAGTGTGCGAAATTGCGTTTTTGCTAAAATGACTTTTAAAAAATGACCCGTTGAGTAAATTACTTTCTGCATCGGAATGACATTTTGAGAAAGTGACGTACCATGTCAAAACCAAATGCAGGTAACTGCCTCTGATGCCCAGTTAATTTTCACAGATATGATTTTAACAATATACGAATGAATCGAAATTTTCCCAATTTACGTTCGTGGTGGAATAAAGTAGACCCTCTGATCTTCAGTTATTTTTACTTTTGAAATAATTTTGTAGACTAATACGGTACGGTAAAAGTTAAACCGAATACTATTCGGTATTAGATTATTCGGTAAAACCACTATTAGGCGCATCTCTAATTTCTATAATTGTAGTATATAAGCAATGCTTACGGTTACAAGAATTTGACGTCACAGATATTTTTACCCGACTGCGCGACGCAATGAAGGGTAATTTCTTTATCAGTCTATGTATTAAGCCTTGTAATATATGTGACGTCTTATCAATATTTTAAATAATCATTAATTGAAACATCGAATTTATTCTTGCAATTCAGTGGTTTACTTCATACTATAGCGTACGGTGTAGATTCGCATAGGTGATAGAATTTTGGAAATAGGTCTAGTAGTTCCGGAGCCTATTAGATAGAAACGATCATATCTTTCCTCTAATTATATTAGTATATATAGATTGACAGTAGATATATTAAAATAATAAAAAATAAACGGTTCTATTAATGCACACTTACCCCGGTACTGACTAGAGAGAGCATGATCCGCTCGTTCAGTGCGAGTGTCTCGCCCTGCTTCATTTTGATACGTTTCTTATCGAGGCACTTCATTGCGTACATCTTGCCTGTGTCCGCTTTCCGGCATCCGTACACCTGTGTGCGATTGAAATACCAATTTTAAATAAATTAGTGAATAACGAGAGTGCTCGTGCACGCACCAGTCTTTATAACCTTCAGCATCAACAACAAACCCATAGACAATTATTTTGTCTTTTTAATATTATACAAAAAAAAGTCTTGTAGTAAATTATGCTCATCTCAACTCTGCAAGTCACGGAGCATCCTACTGTCACAGAGGAAATAACTCAATTTGAAGTAAATTATTATAGTGTTGTATGTTTAAGTAAGCTCATCTCTTAATATGTATATCAATTTAAGATTGTATCTCTTTATTTCTAGCACAGGTTAATTACATTGAAGGCGCTCCTACTTATTATTTGATATTTTATTTTATAATGAAAATTAATAAACTGTTATATCATACCTCACCAAAACCTCCCCGACCGATGATACGATGAACACTGAAGTCATTCATTGTTAATTGAATGTTTAGTTCTAAATTTTTCCACTGACAAAATCTTGTGTATTTGTCACTGCAAAAATAAAAATAAAACATCATAAACCATACCGTTTATATTGGTGTTTGTTTCGAATAATCCTAAATTACCTTTCTAAAAAATTTTTGAACGGTTCCCCTCGAAGATGTTGAAATATTTCTTCGATATATGGCTGTGAAGGAAAAAGTCGAATTAATATACGTAATATTCAGTAGCAAACAAATCTCATTTTTCATTAAAAAATATAGTTACCTCAAATAAATTTGGTGGCACTTCGTGCTTCATTAAATATTTCTGTACATGCGCTACGCATTCTTTAGAATAATCCTGAAACAAGAGATATCATTATCGCACTAAACAATAATTAACGGAGACGAGACGGTCAATTACGCAACCAAACAATTAAAATGTAAGGGCAAAAAAGTTCTCCCTCGAACGCCCGCCGAATTGAAAACAAACCCGGATTTAAAAAGTGTAACAAAAAGCTACTTTAATTATAACTTTTTATAGCATATTACAGGTACAATCCCCAAACAAGACCTATCCCACTGACGTATATATTGAACTGTCACGATCTAACATTTGTTATTTTTACTTTAAATATGGAAGAAATAAAATCTATTTTAACTTGCGACTATTTCGTTCAAAAATATAACAAGGTTAAGATGATCTGTTAACAGACTTTCTGAGATAATTCTTATGAAAGCTCCGAAGAAATCACTGAAAAGATTTTATTTATGTCTGAATAACAATACATCCCACCTAGCAAACGACTGGAGAAACTACAGCAAGTATAAGGCCAATGTTTTATTCCAGAAAAAAACTTATAATGGAGGGAGTGTATGGAGTAGGTACGCAATGTTAATTACGATCGTATATCTTAAAAGACCACTACATAGAGAAAGCGAATCATACTCTCGTTTTGGAAATGAATCATAGAGTATTATATTCCTGAGCAATAATACTAGTGTATTTCATAACTACTGATTGATAACCCGATCATACAATTGCTTCGCAGGGAATGAAAAAGGTTGGTAAATAAAAACGACTGCAAACGTGCAACATGATATGTTAGTATTGTTGAAAGATATATTGGAGAAAGCCAAAATGGTTTTAAAACACAAATGTAGTAACAGAAATCTTGTAGTAGTTATTAAAATTATACAAGACTGGCTGTTTTCCCGCGACTTCGCCCGCGTAAATTATAGCTAACATCACGCCCGTTTGATGTATCTTCCGAAGGATAAAAATCGGTCCAGTAATTACGGAGACTATTCAATGCAAACAATCAAAGCTTTCCTCCTAATAATATGTTTATAGATTTATTTTACGACATCTGAAAATCAATAAAGTTTTTCCCGGTCATTCACAAAAGTAAATAGTAAAACCGGTACACACAAAAGTAAAACCGGTAAAGTTCCGTCGTATCAAAACGAAGAAAAATCTGTATTTGTTTCTTTTACTTATTTAGTATTATCGGAAAATTGGAAATTTATTTAGGACATCAAGAACGATATATACTTATAAAAAAGGACGAAAATAAAACTGCTTCGAGTAATTATTTACTGGTAAACAAGAAGGTATTATTTTAGGTATAATATCAAAACATTAACGTTCACGCAAGAAGATCTTTTCGAATTTTCATGGTCGTAATGAAAGCTCGTCGATCAGCAACAAAACCTAGTATAAAGCGTGCGCTAATGACCCCTCGCTGTATAAACAATCGTCACTGCCGGCGATTGTACGAGTCGAGCACTTTATCACTAAAACGGTGATCGTCTGTTTCATTAGTATTAGGAAAATGATGGAAGCAACGGATATTACACAAGATTCTTGGCCGTAATAATTTGCAATTGAAATCGATCAGATTGGTTTACTTAATGAACCAGTTCGCTCTTTTAGTTCGAGTGTTTCTTTCCCAGCCCTTTGCTCTTTGCGACAGGAATAATTTTGAACGAACGATTTGCTTTAATTTAATTATTTTAAGGCAGTTCATTCGCTCGTTTTCATACTACTCCTGCTGCGATGAGATTATGTAAACTGTATATTTTCTTAAAATGTTTACACACTGAAAATAGCATAAACCTATGAATTAATACATATTAAATATACATTTGTCACGAACTAACTGATTGCTGAGCAGGAAATGTGAGATCTAGTTAGCGTAGTTCATCTGTGGGATCAAGTTCAATCTAGTTCATCTCTTTTGAACTAGCTGTTCCACGAGCTACATAAGACTAAAACAAGAGTCGGTGGTCCACAACCGGCTACCGACTGACGCCGACGGACGGAGGCAACCCAGGCACCGCGCCAAGTTCACGCTAACGACCCTCATTACACAAACAATCGCAACTGTCTGCGGTTTTACAAGAGTCAGGACGTGACTACCGAGTTGACGTTGGAACTACATGTACTTGCTTTTATATCATACGCAGTTGTTTACACTTGGCTAGTTGGCATAGCACAGTTTCAATGACATAAATCATTTATTACCTTTTGGAGTAGCTTTTATTTGATTGAACCTTTATGCTATGACAACGTTGCGCTCAAAGTAGATTTCGAGGCTGTTTTTATAACAGAATAGCACTGTTGGGGCAGAATTGTCTAATTTTAATATCTATCTCAATCCAAAAGATAGATATTATCAGACTTCAAGCTACGACTATTTGACATATGATAGCGATTTTTTAAGAATGTTGAATGTACGATATCGTTAAGTTGACATTAATTGGAATTGTCTAAAGCATGCGTTAAACGCATATATTTGAGAGTAATTTAGAAATACCAAACCAAATTTTTGACTGCTAAATGCAAACTTTCCATGGGTTTAGCTAAGTTTTTATTGTTTCTTATTTATTCATATTATTCGTTCCGAAAGCGAATGCAACTTTAAACGTTACATCATTCCATAAATCGCTATTCCTTCGAACGGTACTGCGATAGATTTGAAATTAGAGCTAATGGCCTCTGGCCTCGAATGTGTAATAAAGCTCCCTGGAGAAATTTAGCCAAGAGTGACACCACATGGAAATCTATTGCGTGGTTTACGAAGATTTAAAACCCAGATATACCAATGCTACTTTAATTTGATTTTAAGATCAAAACGGCATGGCAAGTACATAGGTATTATATTATTTTTGTTGCATGTTATTTATATTATATAATGAATACACGGAAAAACTTTTTAGTTTACAATACTACAAAACGTCTAGGTTAAGAGAAATACTGTAAAGATAACTATAATTTTGTACACAGAAACAGAAATATTGTTAACGTAAGTTGACATTTTGTAAGCAATACAATTACAGTTCTGTTATTTCTGAAATTGTAATCAGCACTGAAAGTATATTAAACATTACAAGAAAAATTGTATTTTAAAAATCTACAACACGAGTTATGGTGAGTACTGAAAATACGTTTGTAATTACAATACAATTAGTATAGAGAACAATCAGTGATGTTGCATTTGCAAAACTTCGCGCGGCTTGGCGGCGATCGAGATGCGGGGGGGTGAGGGGCAGTAAACTTATTGCATCATTTTTCTTTCTTTTAGTCGCGCGCGCAGTGAAGTGACAGTGATAGGATTACTATTATTCTATGGGATAATCGCCCGCCGATCGCCGCCATTACGCTTCCTAATCATGTTTTATTGTTTTAAAATTGAAATGGACGAAGATGTCAGAAACTTACTTATTGCTTGGGTTCTCAGCGGTTATGTGGATGTGTTCTCTGGTAAGTTTCATTTATTTCATATGTACTCATCATAAATGATATACGCCTGACTTTTTAGATTACATACATAGGTACTTATAATCACGCCCATATATCGGGGCAAGCAAAGCCCTACGGTGTAATTCACACAAGCGGCCACGTCTGACGAGGGAGCTAGATGTTTTTATTGTGTTACTGAGTAGTGATATGACAAGTGCTCATCAGCCCGTCGCCTCAATAGAGTACTTTAAAATGTCCTTTCCCTTCAGTCTGATACTCTGATTTTGGATCTTGCACGGGAATGATGGCAGCTGTTTATCTTTTTCTCCCAGAGCTGCGTATGAGTACATAACTTTGTAAATATACAAAATGTTATGTTGTGAGATGAAGGTGGGACTGGGATATAAAAGTAAATCCTTACCTCTTTTTTAGATATTAGGTACCGGGCTGACTGATCTATATATTTTTTTATTATTATGTATTTTTAATTTCAGAAAACCACATTACGATGGACATAGAGTAAATTTTATTAAAAATTTAAACAATTGGAAGACCTTGATGGATTCTGAGAACGACAATCAATCCAATCAATCACAAGTAAGAATTTGATTTACATACTTTTAATTATATATAGGGCTTTTGCCCACAACTTCGTCCGCGTGGCTTTCGTAGCCTATGTGTTGACCCAACCTCATAGTAATATTCATGCAAAATTTTAAGTAATTCCATGCAGTTCTTTTTGAGTTTAGCCCGAACATACAAACAGACAGACAAAAATTCTAAAAACTATATTTTTGGCTTCGATATTGATTGTAGATCACACCTCAAGTATTCTTATTACAAAATATTCAATGTACAGTTTTGACTTTCCTACGATTTCATTATATGTATAGATATTTGCTACCATTTCCCACTTCAGGCACATTAGGCATTAATCTGTCGGTGCCAAATTCATGAATCATATTATATTTTCAGAAAATATTCATAGACTTTGAGTGGCTTAGAAAATCCAGCGAGCCTTGGAAAACAGTTGAAGAGAAAAGGAAAAATACATTCAAGATTAGACTTGAAGAGACTAAAAATATAACAGTATCTGACTACATGAATGAGCACCCTGTTTTAAAAAAGCCGACAGGGTATCAGCTACTTCTAATTGATTCTACGTTTTAATTAATAAAAGTGTTGATTCTTATTATTGATTGTTATTCTTTTATTGGCATTTTCTGCGGGAACTGTCGTGTATCGACGTGATTGCTTAAAGTTCAGAGCTTTTATTTCTCGGAAAACTTAATGAATCTTGAGAAATAAAAGCATATTTTAAGCAATCACGTCTTTACCGCCAGTTCCAGTGGAATAAGCCAACTACTTTTTCTGGTCCATTTACAAAATAAGAAGTTACCTACACAATACTCTATTGTTGTCATTACAAGTCATTTTGTAATGTGAACGTATCATTCTGTTCCATTTATAATACAATATTTGTCAGAGGTACACAACAAATCGTATCAGTAATTTTTTTGTAGTAAATTAAACGATGACATTCAGTAAATTTAATTAAACGTTTATATGTTATTTACAAAACTTTTGATTAACAACACAAACTTTCTTGTTGGTAGGACAAAAAAGGATTGTAGACCTGAAAAATTAAATAGTAAAATTAACAATAACAATGTGACAACTACAATTCATGTTTAACTAAAATCATTGTGTAACGCTTACGATACGAGTGGTCGTCACATATAGAGCAATAAATATTGTAATGGTAACCAGAATATGGTTACATATACCAGAATAATTTTTCCGTGTATATATACTTACGTGTGAATGTGCTAATAGTTCTTTCATAATAAAATTGTCATAAATGTCTCTCGCGATCCGCCGCCTCTCTTCTATACATTCTTGTTTTTCATATAATTTTATCTGTTGAATAAAAAAATACTATAAGTGAGCAATCAATTACAAGAAAAAACTAAATTAATGTCATGATATGATGAAACAAGTCATTAAATAATCGTCAAATTACAATAATAAATTTAAAACGCTATTAAAAACAGATTACAGATGACGTGTTCATCGTCATAAAATACAAATTACCTCTTCATAAAATTTTAATTGTGGCACTGGTTCGTCTGACGTCTGTTCACAGAATTCCTTAAATAATAAATAACCTGAAACAAAATGAGAAATGTTATACGACCATTAAAACAAATATATGTATAACCAGTAGTTACTCAAGCGCCATGTTCGGCTCGATGCGCGATATTTTCGGAATAAAATAAGTATTCTAAATGACCATGCCTCAAACTACGCTAATATTAAATTTTATCTCAATCATTCCATCTTCGTGAAAGCGTAAAGAAAACGATTTAACTTGCATCAGTTGAGACTTTTCAGTTTTCAATTGATCAGTTTAATTGCTAGTTAATGTCGAGCTTTAAGTGGGGAAAACTGAAATCAGTAAAAACTGCAGGCTTAATGTCTGATATCAAAGCTATAGCGATTGTCTTATTGATTTATGGAATTACGCGACTTTCAAAGTGATCAGTTCAAATACCCGTCGATGCCGCGCTTTAAAGATATACTGTTAAATACACATTTAAAGTATGGTATGATATCCTTATTACACGGACCATTAACATCTTAAGACGTAATCCGGGTCGGATTGAACGTAACACGTGAAGCGTGTGCGTCTCGAACCCCTCCGCCCAAATCACGAAGATTACAATAGACATGTCAGAATATATGAAAAAATAACGTAACATATCCAGAGTTCATAAAAATACAACACTAGATGATGGTCACGAGATATTAATTTAAAATAGCTTGTCACGCAATTCGCTATATTCTAGCTTGATATAATACATTTTTGGTCACCCATCCTATGACTGAAATTTGCTTAATCTTAGCACCGCGGACCGAACGCACTAGCCACTGTGCTATCGAATACATTTGATAACATATATTGGTGATACAGTTCATGAAGTGCATGAAAAAAAAAATCTAACAAAAAAATTGACTCCGCAGTGTTATTATTATTAATAAGGCTTAGCGTTGGATAAAATTTACGATGATATCGTACTTTGTATTAATCAAAATTAATATTATTAAACAGAGACTTCACGAAGAGTAATCTAGTATGAGATTCTACGGAAGTAATATTTACTCCTAGAAGGTGGAAGGTTTGCTTATTCTTTGTTTAATATGAATTTGGACTAATACTAAATTTACTCTGACGCCAAACTAATAATAAAATTGTTTATTAATAACACTGTCAATGAGAAAGTAATAGCTGTATACCCGATATAAACTTAAATCTATACTAATATTATAAAAGCGAAAGTAACTCTGTCTGTCTGTTATTTATTCACGCCTAAACCACTGAACCAATTTCCATGAAATTTAGTATGGGGATATTTTAATACCCAAGAAAGGACCATAGGCTCTAAGAGGATAAGACTTTTTTTTCAGGTATTTTACACGATATAATGAATAAATATTCGTTAGAAATGCTGCTCAAAGTAACTTTACCACGCGGACGAAGTCGCGGGCAAAAGCAAGTATACAATAATTGTCAGTCTTCCGTGTTATATCAGTCAAATTCTATTACATGAGGCAATCATCGACAACCAAACAAGAAATTCCTATTGTTTTCATTTATCGCTTATTAATGCAGTAATAATGCTTATCGTGACGTTTTTAGATAAGTCTGGATTAGGACTGCCTGGACAACCTATTTACTTGCGATTACCAATGCGTCTTCGTCGAGCCTCTTATCTGAACTACATTCTATATGTGCGCGATTATGGATATGTATATAGATTAAAAGTTCGTTTAGTAAATATCATATTAACCCTATTCTTGGCATTGGGTAATATTTGATACGTTAACTTCCATAATTGTTTGACTAAAATATTACTTTACACTGCTATGTTAGTTGCCAAATATCATTATTAATTGTTACATAATTTTAATGATTAAGATCGGAAATCATCTGGAGTTTTTCCAGTATTATATAGTCTGATCTACTAGAAAAAACTGGCAAAATATTAGACTCACTTGCCATATTAGTAATTTAGATTGGATCTTTGAATGTCCTTATAGCAAAATTTAATACAATACTAATATGTAAATATGTTCTCGTAGGAATATGCTATTTTTGTTAAAATTTAAATATGTATAACATCTGTAAGCTTAGCTATGTATTAAATATGATACATAATTTGATAATGTTGATTACCACAAAATTAGCTATGTACCGTTTATGGTACATAATAAATGCTAAAATATTTTTAGTAACCAAATCCTCTTCGATAGTAAAACACATTTCAAGGACAAAAAATAATAATTTCGAATAAAATGTCTTGCCAAGTAGGGGGTTAACAAACAACGTGGACACGTTGAAATTTAAATGACTAATTTTCCTATCTGTGACTAATCTACAAACGACGAATGAATATTGTGAAGAATCTCTTGAAAACGGTGAATGACTAAGACCATTCTAATCGTAAGACGAAGGTGACGTTCTCGTAGGAACTTAAATAGATATTTACGATAAGAGGAAATAAATTCACCACATATTTTAGGAGTAAAAAGATAGTAACAAATTTTTTTCACGTCATCGGTTATTTTGGTATAATAGCAACAACGATTATTATTTATTAAAATGTAATTATCAAATATAATGTGGGTTAACTCAACTGTCATCTAACACAATAAAAAATAATTAATTTGATGATACCACGAATGACGTTTTCGTTTCCAGTTTTTTAATGAATAAACAATGCATCAAAACGGCATCAAGGAAGTGCCTGTGCACCTCAGTTGTTCAGAATTACAAGCTATTTACTACAAATCGAGTTATCATCGCACAAAGACTTAGCAACAGGGCCCGTACGAGTAAGCCAATAACCCCAATATAAAAGGCTTCGTCCTACATTCCCCTTCATTGACCGAAGCGACGACGAACGCAGTGTAGCCGATAAAGTTATTTGATGCAAGTGGAAGTGAGGGGGGAGGGGTGGTCGGCGTAAATTGTGTTGTAAACTAGTCTCGAGAGCTTCACTCCACTACCGAGTCCATGTTACGAGAGTAATTACATTAGTGGTACATATTTTGTATGTAGCTCTCCAAGCTAATAATTCATGAAATGGCAACATATTAAAACCTCATTCGTCGTTGATTAAACTTATATGTCTATGCAGGCCGTCGTTATATATCTGATATTTTCGTCTTTGAATACGTAATCTACACTAATAAAGTGGTGGTTCTTTCACCTACTAGAAGCTACATATAGGTATTATACGCGGCATGGATAATATAGTCTATAATTTACGCGAGCGAAGTCGCGACAAAACAGAACTCAATAAAACGTACAGATTAACGCGCTCAAAATATATCTACAAGTTATCGTATTAAATATCGTAATCGTTTTAGGACACGCTATGAAATGGTGGTAAACTTTTTAGTAATCGGGGATAATCCCTAATCACCGGTAACAAGTAAAACGTCAGGGTTTCTTTAATATACACAGACAAACGTAAAACGATTGAGGATAAAAATTCACTTAAACTCTAGTCATGATGACGTATGATGAATGCACAAAGAGTGAGTTGATGCGTCCGTATAAAGGCATGCCATGCATTATTAAAAACTGATCAAGAGCGAATCAGACATGCGTACCAAGGGTTCCATACATATTAAACTTCAAACTATAGATTTCTTTTGTTTTCCTATATCTTTTGAGACGTAAAAGTCGTGAAATATGAAAGTTCTAGTTTTTCAGGATTACATTATTATATGTAATTAATTTACATAGGATTTTTTTCATAATTACTAATCTCAATTGTACGACGCTCACTGCAGGTCATAGGTCATTCATATTATCCAATAACATTAAATAAATACTGTGTAAATAATTAATTCACAAGTATAAAAAATCCTAAAATATACACGAAATTTTCGTTGTTATCACGATTTTGACTAAGTACCTAGTTTTTTGTTTATTATTCTTTTCACAAAATAAAGCGACGCAGCAAAACTTCCCATCATTAAAATAATAAAGTCGAGACAGCGACGTTACCTTACTAGCATATACATTGTTAAGATATTTGTTAGATTTATTTGTATTATTTTCACAAAATATATCCTTGTAGAATTAATGACACAACCGGTTATCCAATATTGACAGATTCTGAGAAATTACGCAGCAAATTGCAGTTAAGACGTCATTAATGACAAACGCAGAGAACTTCCCACTATTTAACTATAGCATTAGAAATAATTAATTCGCGACGTCGTTGTTTATAATATTATCCATCACACACCTGGTGTCTCATTTCAGGTAATCACAGAAAATTATATGGTATAGACATAGTTAAGAAAGCTATTAGATCTATTTTCTTTTATTTAAAAAAAATAATATCCTTGTAGAAATTAACGATCAATTGTGGATAACTTGATGTAGGTTATCCAAATTTTATGATAAATTCTGAGAAGTGATGTAGCAAATTGCAATAGACGTCATCAATGAATGACAAAGGCAGAGAACTTCCCGCAATTAAACTAAACATTAAAAAATAATTAATCCAATACATTGAAATCGCAATATAGTCACACATTTCATCTAATCACAGACGGTTTATAGGCGATTGGCATATACATAATTAAGGAGTTTGTTAGACTAATTTTCTTTCCTCTTTTTAGAGTCAATGATACATCAGATTATCTAAAAATTAAATAAACCATAAATTAAAGTAGTAAATCGACAGAAGTTTTCATTATGTAGTAAGCTCACGTACATGTGTACAAAAAAATCGAAAGCTTTTATTCTTTAGCTTTTAATATTATGTTCCAAAAGTTTGGTGCTACAACAATTCTATTTCCCACAATATCTCTCAGTTTATCGATTTCATTTCAGTATTTGTTGAATTCGAAATCAAAACAATAGCTTGGGGTCTCCACGGATGCACATCATCAAATGTTCTTTTTATTTTTGTGATAATTAAATACAATAAGAAAAGGATGTTTGTGAAGACAACAATAGAAAGCTACATAACAAAAAAAAACTAAATTTGGATATCTATTTCATAAATTGAATGAATTAACTTATAAATACGACAGTCTACGTAGGCCGCAGATATATACGTGAGCGTCATAACATTAATTCCGG